GGTCAGACAATGGGTGTGTCAGTGGGTGAGAGGCCTGACATTTTCAGAGCACCTGTTCTGTGTGTCAGACACTCTCCACGTATCATCTCACTAATCCAACCCAAGTGTCTTGCTTACTAGGGAAGGACAGATTGAGCTGTCATCTGGGTATGAGGTGCTGTATCCAGACTGTACAAGTTCAAACCTTGGTTCCACCCTTCACTACCTGTGTGACCTTGGGCAAGTTACTTCATCTCTGCAGGCCTCGGTTCCTTCATCTGTAAAATGGGGAGATGAATGGTGCTTACCTCATAGGGGCATTGTGTAGATGACATGAGGCCCTGTACTGCAAAGGATTTAGAAGAGCACCTGGCCCCCAGTAAGTAAAAGCTGCTATCAGGGCTTTGGTTATATCCCTGTCACAACAACGCCAGAAGGCGGTACCCTTGTTAACAACATTTTACAAATGAGGACACGGAAGCCCAGAGGGCACAATGGCTAGTCCTAGTACATACAGCCCAGAAGCGGAATCCAGGTCTTGCTGAATTCTAAGTTGACGCTCTTTCTCCTAAACTGGGGGCTCCTAACATTCTGGGAACCATGGTTTCTAGAAAATCAGGTGAAAAGAACAGATTCTCTTGCCAGACACGAGTGCACATGCACATGCACACAGATGCATGTACACACATACGTGTACACACGTGTGCGCAAAGGCACGCACCATATGATAACATTTCCTGTACTCACAGCCCCTCTGAGGCCAGCCGTACTAGGACCCGTGAATACAAAGTTTCATAAACGCTGGGTTAAAAATTCCTCGTCTTGGGCCGGCCTGGTGGCGCACTGGAGAGTGCGCCGTTTGGGAGTGCGGCGGCGCTCCCGCCGAGGGTTCAGATCCCATGTGGAGACCGGTTCCCGCTCACTGGCTGAGCGCGGTGCGGGCGCAACACCGAGGGTTGCGATCCCGTTACCGGTCAGTAAAAAAAAGACAAAAAGGAAAAAAAAAAAAAAAATTCCCCGTCTTAAATCTTGCCATGTTCTGGGAAGAGCATTCTTTTGTTTTCAAAGGATTATCACATTTCTTTGGAAAACAGTGCTGTACACATGCAGGGGCTAACTCATTTCAAACTCTGTGGCTCCAACATTCTCGGGCCACCTTCTTGGCTCCTCTTCCTGGTCAGACAGGTGAGGAGAGAATGGAGGTCTGACACTCGGCTGTGCTTACCACTGACCCCTGCCAATGGGTCACATCAAAGATCATATCATGCATCCCTGTTCCCTTTGGGGCTGCTCCTGACCCCAGGAAAACATGACCCCCATCCCCAGCCACATGCACTGACACTTGGGGGTCACCGTATATGCTGGATATTCTCTGTCTGGTTTTCCCAGATCCATCCTCTATCCTTCTCTGTTCCAGGAAGGCTGATCCCTGCAGACAGCATCAAGGGGCAACCTGGCCTCTGGCTGGCAGATGGGAGGCTGCAGCAGGAGAGCAGAAGGTCACAGGAAAGAGAACAGGAAGTGTTTCTTCCCCAGCTCCCTCTCTGCATGGGTGCCGTTCTGGCAGTGGCTGTGTCCACCCATGCTACAGTGCCCACCAATGGCTGCCCCCAGACTCACCCTCACTGGACTCCAAGGACATCACTTCCTCCCCCTGCACCTTCAGTCCCTGGATTGGGGACAGCTCCTCACTGTCATTCATCCTTGGGAGCCTCAGTGTCCTTTGCTCCATCGACACTGCACATGCCTGTTAGCAGCCCCTGCATCGGGCTCTTCCTGGGGTGAATTCTGTGCCAGGCTGGCACACCCTTGGCACTGGGGAAGGGTCTTTCACCTTTGACATATTCAGTTAGCCCAGAGCTCAAGTCCCCTGCCAGGAGCCGGGAGGACAATGTTCTTTCAGATGGACTCAAAAGGGGTCAAAATACATGGCATGACTCTGACACTTAACACTAACCTTAGGGGCCAAATCTCAACACTGTACCTTAGTTTCCTCATCTGTAAAATGGGGACAATGGAATAGGTACACCACAGGGCCTTCTATGAGAACATGCAGTGTCAATCCTAAAGGGCCATGTGGTGTTACCATTTGTTATCCTTCCCCCCACTTCTGGAAGGGACCCTGTAGATACTGAGCTCATTCATCCCAGATTTCACAATGGCCCAGGATCTGCTTTTCTAAATGGGTTTGCGAGTATAATGCAGTATGCCAGGGGAGTGGGGGTGGGGGGGCTCTAGTCAGTCTGGAGTTCTAATCCGATCTTTGCACTTTCTAGCTGAGGGCACACAGCACTGCCTGCAGCTGCTGGGGCTGCTGCGAGGGCAGCCCCTGCACATGGTAAGTACTTAATCAATGTTAGCTACCATGACTCGGTCACTTCAATGCTTGGTTGGCCTCAGTTCTCTTAGCTGTAAAATGGGGCTAATCATTCCCATCCCATAGGGTTGCTGAGGAATTCACTGGAAGATGTAAGCAAATATAAACTATTGTCTTTATTACTATTGGGTCTACGCCTGTCTGGACCTTGGCCTGCAGGTGATAAGTGGCCGTGAAGACAGCCAATCCCACAGAAACGCTTCAGGCTGAGTCTTTCCCCTGGGGTGAGGCAATAATGCTGTCTTTGGAACTCAATTTATTGAAGGGGCTTCTCTCCCATGCAGGGCAGAACTGCTGAGCCTGCACTCCTCAGCAGCCCCGGGGTGGGGGGTGGGAATGCCAGGGGAGATGGGGCCCCCACCTCCACTGCAGGGAGAGTCCGTTATACAAACATTTGCCGACGGGTGCATTTGGGCCTGTCAATGGCTATCGATAAGGACAGGTTCTCTTTCTGCACATCAGGATTTGGAGACTTACTGAGTTGTGAGCTTGCAACTGTGTATTGAGCCTCTGCTTCACGTTCCCCTGGGCTCAAACATTCCCCAGCCTTGGCCTAAGGGCCCAGCATGTGCCAGACACTGTGCTAGGCACAGGGGACCCAGAGGCAAACTGATCACCTACAGAGATGAGCACAACACAATCTCCATGTGGGGGAAGTATGGGTCCAGTGAGGATAACTGATTATGAAGAAATAAATTACATCATGGCAAGAAAGTATAAAAACAGGCGAGACAACAGAGGACGGAGCAATTACTGATTGGGAGGAGGGGAGAGGGAAGGCTTGCTGGAGGAGGTATCATTTGAGCTGGGTCTTGAAGGCATTTACCAGATTAAAAAAAAAAATTGAGGGGCAAGGCATTCCAAGAGGGAACAGCATATGCAAAGACAGTCCTCCTTGGAGTTTTGGGAACAATGAACTTTGTGGGAAGTGTGGTGGGAGGAAGGACTGGTCTGGAAAGACCACTGGGGTGGGCAGGGGTTGTGTTGTGAAGGGCCTGGTTGACTGACTACAGTCAGAGGGCTTCAATGCTGTCTCTGGAGATCTGCATACATGTGTGGGGGATCAGTCTTGCTCGGCTGAGACCCTACTTCTTAGAAGCCCTGCTTTTTAGCCCCAAGCAAGACCAGTGAGGCCCAACTGGGAAACTCACATCTCCATAAGGGAAACCGTCCCCACTGGCCAAGATAGGGACGATCGCTCCTGGTTCCAGGTCCCATTTCTGCACAGATGAGTGGGAGGAGGGGACTTTGCAGCAACTCTCCCCCATCTACCCCAGGGGACACCCTTGGCCTTCAGCCACCCTGTGGGGATGGGGACAGATGAAGGGGCAATGGCAGATGCTTAGAGTAACATGGTTGGTCCAGGAAAGCATCCAAGAGCCACAGATCTGAGGATCAACTAGGTCAGGAGGGAGGCAGTGTGCCACCAGAGATCTCAGAGTGCATGGGTGACGCCACGGAGCCTGGCTTTCCCAGGCAGCTGGGTGATCGTCACCAAGCCCAATGGCATACAAAGTGGGTAGGCAGCCAGCCGCTGCTCTTTGCTGCCTTCTGGGATGGGGGTGGGGGGCATGGAGACAGGGTGCAAGTTCAAGTCTCCCTTGATTTCCCAGGTGAGGGGCACGCACTGGACAGACAGCACGGGCCCAGTGTGGGGCAGTCCTCAGGGCTCTCCCACCCCCTCCTTGCCTGACATTCACAACCTCCTGGAGAAGACGACACTCCGTGTGACCCACCCCACCAACCTCTCTAACTTCATCCACCCGCTTGACCCCGTGCTCCAGCCACACTGGCTGCCCCGTTTCTCAAACACATCAAGCTCGCGCCAACCTCAGGTCCCCTCAGCTCCTGGCCTTCTGCTTGGGCAGCACATCTGTGGGTGCAAATGTCACCTCTGTAGTGAGCCCTCTCAGGACCATCTGATGAGGCAATATGCCCCAGCCTCCTCCACCTTGGTGTGGGACCCCTGCTTAGTCACTGCAGCACCCCTAGCATGAGGACACAGCACGTGCTCAGGATGTTCTGGTCATCGACTGAATTGTCATCAAGGCCACATGACACCAAAGTGTGTAAGAGGTAGAGTTATACCAGCATCAGGATCCTGGCACTGAGTGGACGACCCTCAAACAGGGTAAGTGAGGAAGGTCTAGTGAAGGGGGCAGGGTGGAGGGAAATCAGTGAGAATGTGGTCTCCTGGGCTGTCCTCTGGGAGGAGCCGTAGCATCCCGGGGCAACAGGAGCAGACTCTGGAATCTGGACAGAGTGCACTGTGTGGAGGGGGCCAGTGGGCTCAAGCTACGGACTCGGCAACTTGGCAGGAAGGGAGCAGGGGGATAAATACCCTGACCTCACTCTCTTCCTGCCAGCTCTCCCAATGACCCCACCCAACTGCAAGCCGAAAGGGCATGGGAGCCCCGCTGATGCCGTCTATACAGGTCAGCCTCCTGGCACGAAGTGAGAGAAGAGGATGGAGTGCAGATGCGGAGGGGCTAACGAAGGGTGCCCAGCACAGGGCTGGCAGGGGGGACTCATGCCCCTATGCCCCGCAAGTCAACGGCCATTCTCTTGGCAGCCCCAACCACCTCCTGCCTTCCCCAGGGGCCCATGAGTCACGCTGAAAGACAGCCCCGGACACCACTCCTACCGTGGAAGTGCTCAGCCGTCTTCCGCCGCAGGGCTTGCAGGGTCACCTCGGAGTCAGCCCACTCCAGCACCAGCCTGCGACCATACAAGTGGGTGCTGTGACAAAGGGCATTGAAGGCTCTCTGCAAAGGGACACACAAGAGAGCACATTAGGTAAAGCAGAACCACAGATACTCATTTTGTCTTCCCCATGCCTGCTGGCATGAGGTCCAGGAGCCCAGGGCTGGCCCTTGTGACATCTGATCTGTAGCGAAGGTTGGGGGAGCTGCTAGGAACATCTATTTAATTAGTGGGTTATGTTCCCAGGGAGGGAGCTGCAAGTGACGGAGCAGTCAATATATCTGCCTTCTGGACCATAATTGGAGCCTGGGCTGAGGCAGTCGCCTTATTTCCCACGTTGCATTCTATCTGTGGAGGGTGACCCCATTAGCGGGGCTCACCTCCCATCCGGCTGTCAGCAGCTGCAGCCATGTGAGAAAGCCCAGCCATCAAGCTGCTAGATGACAACCGTGCAGACCCCTAGTCATCACTGGGAGCCACTCTCCTTCGCTGGCCCGGGTGAGTCTGTCCCCTCCTCACTGGTCCCCTGCCCCTCCACTGGCAGCCTCCACCCTATCTGTGGAGGGTGACCCCATTAGCGGGGCTCACTTCCCATCCGGCTGTCAGCAGCTGCAGCCATGTGAGAAAGCCCAGCCATCAAGCTGCTAGATGACAACCGTGCAGACCCCTTGTCATCACTGGGAGCCACTCTCCTTCACTGGCCCGGGTGAGTCTGTCCCCTCCTCACTGGTCCCCTGCCCCTCCACTGGCAGCCTCCACCCCAGCTCAGCAGCCCGCGGCCTGGCACACGCTCTTCCCTCCCACTTTTTGCTGTTCCCAACATCTGCACTCTGCCTGGTTCTTTTTCTTTTGTAACAGCTATATTGAGATATAATTCACACACCCAACAAGTCACCCCTCTGAACTTTATGACGCAATGGTTTTTAGTGTATTCACAGAGTTGTGTGATCATGACCATATCAATTTTAGAACATTTTCACCATCCCTGAAAGAAACCCCACATCCTATAGTTATCAATCCCTAAACCCTACATCTCCCCCAGCCCCTGGCAACCGGTAATCTACTTTCTGTCTCTGTGGATTTGCCTATTCTGGACTTTTCATATGAATCCTATAGTACCGGCCAGTTCCCTCTTAAACATTGCTAGGTCTGAAGCTAAATGGCACTGTGCAGGAATGCCCAGTCTGACTTGATGGACTCGTCCTGAAACACTCCCACAGAGGCCATGGAGCTTACTGGCCAAGGGCTGGGACTCTGGAGTTGCCCTGTCTGGCCAGGGTGGGCCCTGCACTTCCTAGCTTAAAGATCTTGGGCAAGTTAAAATAAATCTTCCTGGCCTCAACTTCCTCATCTATAAAATGGGGATGTTCATATACGCTGATCTAAGAGTCCTAGAAAAGATGAAAAAGAGATAACAGAGCACCTAGAATGGTGTGGGGCACACAGTAAGCACTTGGTGGACGCTCATTCTCCTTGCTGTGTTTGCACAGATGTAATGCATGTGAATTCCTTGCTCTCAGCAGAGTTCTAGGTAGGCAGTGAGTTTATAAAGGAATAGGCTCCAGCAGCTTGCTCGTCAGCACTGGACAGCAACCGTGGCCAAGGGAGCCTCTTCTCTGCTTCTGGGATGCAGACCACACCAACGTGAATGAGAAGAGGAACTGTGGGGTTTGCCCTCTCACTTCTTTGATGCTGGGAGACACTGTATAACTAGAAGGGTCTGGACTGGAACCCATCCAACTCTGCGCCTCAACTGCAACATGACTGCTACGGTTGGGCTGTGTTCCCCAGAAGAAGATATGTCGAGTTCGAGTCCTAACCTTGGCAGCTCTGAATGTGACCCTACTAGGAGATAGGCAATTGCAGATGTAATTAGTTAAGATGAAGTCATACTTGAGCAGGGTGGGCCCTAGCCCAATGTGACTGGTGTCCTTAGAGGGCCATGTGAAGACAGAGGCAGAGACTGGAGTGATGAGTCTACAAGCCGAAGAACGCCAAGGACTGCTAGCTGTCACCAAAAGCCAGAAGAGGCATGGAACAGATGTTTTCCCTTGGAAGGAACCAACCCTGCTTACACCTTGATTTTGAACTTCCAGCCTTGAGAACTGTGAGACAATACATTTCTGTTGTTTAAAGCCACCA